GGGGGGGGGGGGGGGGGGGGGAACGAAGCACTAGCGTCTCGAGTGTCGGAAATGAGACGCAAGGCACCGCCGTTTTTCCTGGCGAAAAATGGGGTCACCAGCTTCGCGACACCCCCCGCCTGGAGCACCCCACGAGCCCAGAGGTCTGACAACAATCTGCCACGCGACTTCCCGCCCTTAGCCAGACGGGGATCGAAAGCAAGTCTGCCCGAGAAACGCTCGGGCACAGCAGCAGTATTCGCCGGGAGTCCAGCAGATCCCCCTACCAGCAGAGAGCGGTCGTCGTCGGGTAGAACATCCTCAAGACGTGTCACGCCCGTCGCGACGCGGGGCAGAGAAACTCAGCCTCGCTGGTAAAGGGCGCGGCCCCCGCTGGTCAGGCCATCGCCATAACCATGGTCAGTTCCCAGAGTGGCCTTGACAGCTCCCTGGGCGGCCATACTACTCGGTCTTACAAGGATCTCGGCGCACGCCGTGGCAAACCTCGACTGGGCGCGCGCCTGCAAAACCGCCCAAGGCCGACTAAGTACAAAATTGCCTCGACCACCGGTTGGGTTGAGCGCCTGAATCCCTTCCTGCAGCCAGCGCGCGCTGGGGCCCGCGGAACGCAGACCTGCCGCTGGAGGAGCGCAAGGAAAGAGGAAGAGATCTCTGTGCGACAGCACAGCCATCGTAAACCGATGGCAGCACTAAAAAAAACAATCACGCGATGGGGCGTCGCGCGCTCGGCAGCCGAGATCGATGCTGACGGGGCAGCTCAGGACGTCGCCTCTGCCCTCGCCTTGGCCTCAAGCTCCCCCCCCCCCAAAGCGCAACATGCTCAGGCGCGACGCGGGCTCTCTCTGCGCTGGCGACTGGGCTCGGAAGGGTTCCACCCGCCGCCAACGCCGCCAGGCCCCGCTCCACGCGGCCCGCGCGGTGCCCCCTCAAGATCTTACTGCCCTGCTCCATCTTGTCTGCGACCAGGCCAGGGTCGGCGGGATAAGGGCGGCCTTCCCTGAGCTGACTGCCCAGAAGATGCGACGCTCCGCCGAGACGACAGCAACCTCCCCGGCGCCCACCGCCGGGGCGCTCAGCATCTCCGCGCAGCGTTCCTCCCACGGCTGGCACCGGCGCGCTGCAGCCTCAGAGGCCGCACTGTTCAACAGGTTCAGCTGGTCGCACTGGCGACCGAGCTCAAGCCGCCCCGAGGGGTCCGCGGCGGTCGCGCCCAGCATCTGGCGCCCCCAGTGGTGCCTCGCGACGGGGCTCCGGCCCACCTGGTGGAAGGCCTCAAGCAGCCATCCTGTCGACCGAGGCCCCTGCACCCGAAAGTCATCGAACGACTCCTCCGAGAACGCCTCCCGCCTGCGCGTGAAAGACCAAGCCCTCTCGCCGCGCGGGTTGTAGCTCGCCGTGAGCGTGCGCGCGTCGTCGTCGCGGCCCCACCTCCGCTGCTCCGCGCCGACGGGCGCCGCCACCCCGTTGCTGATCAAGACGCCGCAGTGCCCGTCGATCAAGGCATAATCGTCGGCCCTGTCGGTGGCCTTCGAGCGCGCGGGAAGGCCGCGGGCGTCCGCCATCGAGAACCACCTCGAGCCGCGGGGCCCGAAGCCCCTGTCCGCCAGCAGCCCGCGCGGCGCGGCCGTGCCGTCGTCCGCCAGCACAGCTGCGCCCGCCGCCCTGGCCGACGCAGGGGGGCCGCGCAGTGCGCCTGGCACCGCCGCGGAGAGGGCGGCCGGAGAGCGTCCGCCGTCCACCAGCCGCCGACGCTCCAGCGCGGCCTGCGCCCGCATGTCGCTATCCTGATCCAGCTCGGAGATGTCGAACCCGCATCGCTGGCAAGGGCGGAACCACGCCGGCACCCCGCCCTTCGGCCCCGAGACCAGGATGTCCTCGTAGCCGTCCCACCCGTCTGCGTGGACGTCACCGTCGGTACTTACGATGATCGCGTCAACGGCGTACACAGAGAGGCACAATCGCTCGAGCCACAGGCCCGCGGTCCTGTCGAAGAGGACCCCGAACCTCGGCCCCGACGAGGGGCGTGCCATCACTGACGGTGGAGCTCTCGAGACCCGTCGGGGGGCCCCGTCGTGACCTGCCCGCGCTGCACTCGCCCACTCGCGACGATCTGCTCCGAGGATCCAGGGCGGAACTGCGGCCGAGGTCGCCACGAGCACCCCAGCAAGACCACGGGCACCTCGGTCGCGATCGGCTGCCGTGTTGTAGGTGCCTCGGCGCAGTGGCAGGTGCAGCCACTGGCCGACGCGAGCAAGGGCGGAGGGCCCCACCCAGTGCGCGGGAGGAGTCAGAAGCTACTTATCGAGATATGCAGGTGATAGACTCCGTGAGCACCTTACCCGGCTAAAGATGGCTTGAGAAAACAGTGGCCGCGGAATATACATTCCCGTGCACGCATTCCCATCCCATGAAAGTGGAAGCGGCCAGGAGGAGGAAGAAAGGAGGACGAAGAGAGGAGAAGGAGGAGGAGGAGGACGAGGAGGAGGAGGAGGAGGAGATAGGAGGAGAGAGGAGGAGGAGAGCAGGAGAGGAGGAGGAGGAGGAGAGAATAGAAGGAGAGAGGAGGAGGAGGAGACAGGAGGAGAGAGGAGGAGGAGGAGGAGGAGGAGGAGGAGGAGGAGGAGGAGGAGGTAGGAGGAGGAGGAGGAGGAGGAGGAGGAGGAGGAGGAGGAGGAGGAGGAGAGAGGAGGAGGAGGAGGAGAGGAGGAGAGAGGAGGAGGAGGAAAAGGAGGAGGAGGAGGAGGAGTAAGGAGGAGGAGTAGTAAGGAGGAGGGGGAGGAGAACGAGTACTAGGAGAACGTCTGACGCATCAAGCTCTTCTGCCTCGAAAGCCAGGGCGAGGCGGAGCGCCCCGGCGCGACAGAGGCCGGCGGCCCCGGCCCCGGCCGATGGCCGTGCTCCTGGAGCTCCGAGGCCAGCCCCTCGACGGGCCCGGCGCCCTCGGCCGCGGACAGCCCGGAGGTCGGAGAGGGGCGTGGCATACACGTCGGTCGGAAGAGGAGGAGGAGGAGGAGGAGGAGGAAGAGGAGGAGGAGGAGGAGGAGGAGAAGTAGGTAAGAGCATGAAGTAGGAAGGCGGACAGAGTGGATTGGGTCCAGACCCTCCCAGAGAATGACAAGACACACCACAAGCGTGCCGATTCTTGAAGTAGGAAGGCGCTTGAAGCAGATTGGGATCTGGGAATCCAAAAATACCTACTTTCAACGACCGGCGTGGCATAGAGCGGTGTGGTGCCAATCGCGGGAATGGCGATGCCATCTACGATAGGTGACCTCGCCGGATCCAGCGTTGGCACCACACCCCTTTACTGACGGGGCCCTGGGACACACAAATAAATACACACAAATAAAAGGATTCCCCATAGTTTCCTATATGTTCTGGGTTTTTGTCTTCCCCCCCACTGCCCATATTTTCCCATATTTTCTTGGGAATCGAAGATTAATTGTGTCTGTGTGTTTTTTCCCCTCCTGATTTACGCCACACCCCTTTCCTGCCCTCCAGAGACAGGGCGCACGCCGCGCCGCTGCCGGGCGGGTACTCGAAGACCAGCCTCTATAGAGCGAAGAGAGCTGTGCACGTGCAGTGGAAGCCCGTGTCGAGAAGCAGCCTGCCTGCCTCCAGGGTGCCATGGGCTTCTCTTGGACTTTGACGGTTCTGCGATATGAAGAGCGTGACGCTCCCTACGCCAAGAATCAATGGACGCCCTGGGGTCGCAGGGTTGGGTTTCTTGCGGAAGGCTTCTTGGAGGAGGAGGAGCAGGAGGGGGAGGGGGAGGGGGAGGAGGGCAGGAGGAGGAGGAGGAGGACGAGGAGAACGAGGAGGAGGAGGAGGAGGAGGAGGAGGAGGAGGAGGAGGAGGAGGAGGAGGAGGAGGAGGAGGAGGAGGAGGAGGAGGAGGAAGGGGAGGAGGAGAAGGAGGAGGAGGAGGAGGAGGAGGTGTTCGAGCTCCTACTGCACACAGATCCTGGCCGGACCCATCCTGAGCCCAGGGATCGGTTCTCAGCCACCCCTGGCGCGGCCGGGGCGGGTCATGCACACCTGTCCTGGGCCCAGGACGGGTCCAGCGCCAGGACCGATGCATGCGCAGAGCTCCTCGGGGACGCACTGAAGTGCAGAAAGGGGGCCCGACCACAAGAGACCTTCCACGAGAAGCCCAGCCCTGAGACCCCAGGACGTCCCCTGATCCCCGGTGCGGGAACGCCGCGCTCTCCATGTTGGACGCCCGAAATGGGTACGGAAAGAATGGGTACAATGCTCAACAGCACATGTTGTCCCAAACCAACAGCGGCCGCTGCTGGGCAGGCGGCCGTCTGTCGCGAATGGACACAGGCCGCGGCGACATCGACAGCGAGTCCTGTTCAAAATGAACAAGAACTGCTGTTGGGCATCGTACCCATTCTTTCCATACCCATTCCGTTCGTGCCGATTCATCGCGGACCCATCGAAGCCCAGGAAAACCGCCACCGCACGGTCCGTCACCGCACGGTCTTGGGACCCCAGAGACCCCTGTCGCCCGAGAGGTCCTCGGAGAACGACCCGAG